TGTCCTCTTCTTATTTGTTTACCATTAATCTCAGCAAGTTGTTCCCTTTGTTTCTCTTTAAATAAACCATGTAACATGTACCAGAAATGCAAGGAAACAGATTTCCTCTTACTCTCTCTCTTAATTTCGAATTTCTCTCTCTCTCTCATGTTCTTCATGTTCTTCATCTAATCTCTCAATATTTCTCTAAATCTCACACATCCTACACCTTTCTTAATGATCTCTCTTCCTGCCATGATTCCTCTCCAACCATGGGATGCATTACCAGGTATTGAGCAGTCAAGTTAACCTTCGACCCTGCAGTACTTATTTAGGAGAACCTGTCCCAGCAGGGATGAAGGGTTTTTGAAGAGTCTCCAAGGGATTTTTGCCAGTAGAGCGTCATTGAAGACCTCAATTTCCCTGAAGCCGAGACCTCCTGCGTTCTTAGGAAGTGTGAAGTTATCCCATGAGACCCAACACATCTTACGGATATTCGGTTTCAAGTCCCACCAGAAATGTGTCAATACTGACTGGATTTGTTTGCAAAGAGACTTGGGGAGCTTGAAGCACGTCGTCGCGTAAGAGGGCATTGCAGGGAGAACAAATTTCAAGAAGACCATTTTCCCAGCTCCCGAGAGGTATCGAGAAGTCCAACTATGTGACCGTTGACAAATTATGTCCAATACTTGCAAATATATCTCTTTCTTTCTTCCAAAGTGCTCGGGTATGCCTAAGTACTTCCCGGTGCCTCCTTCAGTACTAATCGCAAGTTCTCTTTTGACTCTATTCTTTGCTTCCGTAGGGGTTTTTGAAGAAAAAGTTATAGCAGATTTGGTGCGGTTTATGACCTATCCTGATGCCATCTCATATCTCTGCAGAATCGAAGTAAGTGCAGCGCAGCTAGTTGGATTCGTTTTACGGAAGAACATGGTGTCATCGGCGAATAAAACATGGTGTCCTATTTGGTGCAGATCAGTAATCGAGTTTCCTCTAATACACGATTATTAGTTTCACATATGTCTATGCAGAAATGGATCTAATGCTTTTAGACCATTTGAATATCCAAAAAATAATTTATTTGTGGAATCGCTTCTTTATCTAAAGGTTATGTGTGTGTTTTTAATAGATTAAATGAATTTTTTTTCTTAAAAAAAAAATCTGGACAATTTTGTAAACATATGACTTTTGTTTGATCTTTGTGCTCCATGTATCGAAAAATGTTTGAGAGTGAACTTGGTGATTGGTGGGTCCGAGACACTGATATTGCGTATCATTGGTCACTGTGTCCTTTAATAACACTTGGCCGAGTCGTAGCGTTCGATACGCGTATACATACATCATCGTGGGGGCTACACTTGCGATTATACAATGGCTAGTTGTAACGTGTTACTTCTAATGGCCTTGGAAACTTAGCTATCGTCTTTAAATGCTTTGGTCTCAATCACAATAACTCTACTTTGGTTCTGTTCAGATAACTGAGCTTACTGTAAACTTACTTTTGGTTATTTTGCAATCATCAATTTAAGATTGCGAACTAACTGTGAAGCTAACTAGTTTCGGTTATTTGTTAATTATCTGGAAGACAATTTTTGTGTGATGAAATAATTTTAAAGCTATTCATATACGTTCAAAACACACTAAACGCTCCGAACCCATTGACAAATCTAAGATGCACATCAGTGTAGGTCCATAGTTTATAGGTTTCTACTGCCGACAGAGAGAAGAAATAAGCAAATTCAATTTTGTAAAGTAATGACCATTGAAAATACCACAAAAGATACAAGAATAATGAAAATATATTTTACCAAAAAAAAATAATGAAAATATAGCAAGACTTGTAAGTATTTTTTGTCAAAGTCATCGAGCAAAAATAAGTGGAAAAATAAAAAGAACTTTCTTGCATTGATGATATGACATAAAGAAACGAGAAAAGTCCTTATGCCGTTTCTCTTACGTGGGCTTTTGTAGGTAAGTGAATTAAATTACAATTAGCCTTTAATGCGATTACAAAGCTTGGTACGATCCAACCGAATATCTATCCATGTAACTCTAAATAATTAAGAACATATAGGTGATGATTGTTTCTGGTTTTTGCTTTAGTTTTTGGTTTTTGTTTTTGTAAAAACCATTTTTTTATCCAATCAAGTTTTGGTTTTTGTAAAAACTATTTGATTTGCCAATCAAGTTTTTTTTTTTTAAAAATGGATTCCTTAATTTTAGGGAAACTAATTTTTCCAAATTTCAACCAATTTGTGAAGAAAAACCAAAAACCAACTTTTGTGAGCTTTTACTAAAAAAAAGAATTTTATTTCTATTTTATAGAAAATAGTCAAATACTATAATTATTTAATTAATAAGTAAATAAATAGTATTGCATAAAAATAATTTTTGCATACAAGTTTTTGTAGATAAAATATCATTTAAACAAAAATGTAAAATAATTATTTCTGTGTTATATCTGTAAATATGTTTTGATATATATATATATAATAGTTGTTCACCATTAGTTATTAATACTTATACATAAAATTATTGAATAATTTTAAGAATTATAAGACACTAAAAATTATAAAAATATAAAAATGATTAATATTATATAAATTTTGAAAATAGCCATTCAAGTGTTAAAATAAATATATTATATATAAGAAATTATATAATTATTTTAAAATTGTAAGCATTTTCTTATAATTTATAGATATTTTCTGATTTATTAGTATGACACTTTAAACCATCATTATTAATTTTTTTATCAATTTAATGGAAATTTCTAATTTTTATTGCTGTTTTGTGTATTATTTTAAATAATGCATTGATTATTTTTTGAAAAATTAAAAACTACAGAAAAAACAAATCAAAAATCTAAATCTAAAAATTAAAAACCAAAACTAAAACCAAAAGCTGAAAACCAATACCGAAAACTTAAAAACTAGAAACCAAAACTAAAATCTAAAACCAAAATCTAAAAACCAAAAACTAAAACCAAAAACTATTTCAAACAATCATCACCATATATGATTTAACTTTAGTACTTTGTTTAACTCAAAACTTTCTTTACTACTTTGTTTAAGTCCTACACTAGTTAAATTTAAACTAACTGCAGTCTACCACTTTGTTCTTGACAGCCTTAGAAAAAATGCTAGTACCAACCGGGGCTAAAGATAATCCCCTTTATCTCTAAGACTCTAACCTTATACAGCAGTCAAATGTGAACGTGATGTGTATTAATCATACTTTTAAACAGAGTTACCATGTTTAGCACAATAGTGTGTGAATACTTTTAAACAGAGTTATCATGTTTAGCACAATAGTGTGTGACTCTCTTATTTATTATAACAAAAACAACAATCCAAGTTATCCAACTATACTCAATAATACATACATATAATTACGATGGAATCCAAAAACAATTAACAAAAAATGAAAAAGTAACAAGCCTCCAAGTGTGTTCTTAAGCGGACATAAACATGGTTATAACCACACTTAAAACTGTAGTTACCGACACAACAGCCATACCATTTGCAGAGTCCTTAACAGAACCTGGAGCTTCCGCCGGCGTAGTGATATCACCGGAGGCTGACGGAGCATCTCCGGAGGGTCCCATCGCTGAACCTGACGGAGCATCTCCGGAGGGACCCATCGTCGAACCTGACGGAGCATCTCCGGAGGGACCCATCATCGACGGCGAGTATGCTGACGGAGAATCTGAGGGAGAGTAAGAAACAGAGGAAGGAGATTCTCCCGGAGCTGAAGATGGGGATCCGGCGGAAGAAGATTTTGGCGCCATTGATCCCAGCGGTGAAGAACCCGGAGCAGATGATTTAGGTGCCATAGGTGCTGGCGGAGAAGTTACCGGGGCAGATGACGGAGAAACAGGGGAATATGATTTAGGTGACATTGATCCCGGGGGTGAAGAACCTGGAGCAGAGGACGGAGAAGATGATTTAGGTGACGGAGGTGCTGGCGGAGAAGTTACCGGAGAAGATGACGGAGAAGCAGAGGAAGAGGATTTAGGTGACATTGATCCCGGCGGAGAAGTCATCGGAGATGAGGATGGAGAAACAGGGGAATATGATTTAGGTGCCATTGAACCTGGTGGAGAAGTCGCCGGAGAACCAGGGGAGGAAGATTTAGGTGCCATTGAGCCCGGCGGAGAAGTAACCGGAGCAGAGGAAGGAGAAACAGGGGTAGAAGATTTAGGTGGCATAGGTGCAGGTGGAGAAGTCGCCGGAGAAACAAAGGAGGAAGATTTGGGAGCCATTGAGCCCGGCGGAGAAGTCACCGGAGAAGAAGACGGAGAAACAGGGGATGAGGATTTAGGTGGCATAGGTGCCGGTGGAGAAGTCGCCGGAGAAACAGGGGAGGATGATTTAGGTGGCATTGAACCGGGCGGAGAAGTCACCGGAGAAGAAGACGGAGAAAGAGGGGAAGAGGATTTAGGTGGTGTGTGTGCCGGCGGAGAAGTCGCCGGAGAAACAGGGGATGAGGATTTAGGTGCCATTGCCCCCGGTGGAGAAGTCACCGGAGCAGAGGACGGAGAAAAAGGGAAATATGGTTTAATTGGTGCAGGTGCCGGTGGAGAAGTCGCCGGAGAAACAGGGGTAGAAGACTTAGGTGGCATTGCCCCCGGAGGAGAAGTCACAGGAGCAGAAGATTTAGGTGGTGTATGTGCTGGTGGAGAAGTCGCCGGAGAAACAGGGGAGGAAGATTTAGGTGGTGTAGGCGCTGGCGGAGAAGTGGCCGGAGAAACATGGGAAGAAGACTTAGGTGGCATTGCTCCCGGAGCTGGGGCTTGAGGAGGAGCCGGAGCTCTAACAGACAAGACAACAACAGTTAATTTCTGTCCCTTCTTACAGTTATCTTCATTACCACTGATGAAGTAAAACGGACCAGAACGTTCAAGTGAGATCTCAGAAGCTCCATCATCCACTTTCTTGATCGGATTCTTGGTATTACATCCGTCGTAATCAGCCTTGTTCACCTCTAACACCGAATCCATTCCCTTAGCATAGCTAAAATCTGCAAGAAAAAAAATTAAACCAAAATGTAATCACAATATTACATGACTAGTGAGAAAAGAGAGGTTATATATACTTACAAAGTGTGTCGTGTACTAGGAAACGACTTTTTCCAGCCCAAGATCCGTAATCTTCCGGCGGATTTGGAACCCACGCGCCGCTACCTCCGACTTCAAACCTCCGCGCCTCGGAGATGGTGGAGAAAGAGAGGAGTACCGTGCAGAAGAAGAAGAGAGAAAGGCTATTGGTTGTTAGAAACGCCATGGTTTCCAAAGAAGTGAGGTTATGAGATAAATGGGGTGTGTGACCATAATAATGAATATATAGCGATGAAAGGTTGTTAAAGATGAAATGAGGAAAATGGGAATAGGGCTACGGAAAGTGAACGTTTTGTCTTTATGATAGGGAGAGAGATATGTCGACTAATTGGCCTCTACGTGTTTTCAAATTAAATATCGTATCAATCTGTTTCTGCATTAATACAAGAGTTTTCTCTTCTTTGTAGCTACCGACGTCTTGAAATTTTATTATTTCATCGAAAAATAGAAAAGTGGTACGAGTATATTGCGCGTTAAGCTATAGAACTGCAGACCAAAAAAAATGCTATAGAACTGTGGCGAGAATCGGATTTTCACACTAATCTCCTTAATTTAATACTAATCTCAGTAACTTAATGATCGTTTTGAGGATATGACTAACAACGAATCATAGATATAAAATAGTGTCAGAGAGAAAGAGAGAAATTCATATGTTGATCTCAATGAGGAAAAAAATGGCGGCTATGTTATTAGTAAAGAGAGGAACCATAGACATGAACACACACATAGCTACTTTCTTTAAATGGGAATTACAACAGTAGTGCTCAATCTGTTGCTGATGGATGCATTACCAGCACTAGCCTAGCTCTGGTTACTTCTCATCCAGCCTAAGTTTCGTTTTGCTTTCTTTTGAGTTCCTTGAAATTAAACAAGTCTAAAGTAGATTGATGCATATGATTAAGAAGATAATTAAGCTAAAGAGATCGTTGAGGCTTTCAGAAATGACATCTTCCAAAACTTTGCAGGGAAAATCAGTCATCAGGATGAGGATGTAGTGTTATGACATACATCACTTTCTGTATAAACTGTAACTATATAAGCAAGTTGTCGTGAAAAGTTGTACTTGCGTAAGAGAGTACTAGATTTTGATCCGCGCTTGAAAAGTGAAGAAATTTTTTATGATTAAAAATTTATATAATTGGGTTTTGTCTTAATTTAAAGAATGTTTTGGTATAAAATTAGTTTACCAAAATTTGTGGTGATAGTTGTTTTTCATTAGTTTTTAGTTTCAGTTCTTATTTTTAGATTTTGTTTTAAATTTTGGTTTTTGGTTTTTAGTTTTTAAGTTTCTATTTTTGATTTTTAGTTTTTGGTCTGGGTTTTTAATTTTTAGACCCGCTGAGTTAGTTTGAACTGATATTACCTACAAACAAATCTCAATTAATCGAATATGTAATTTAAAACTGAAAAGATGAAAAAATAATTTTCTAAAAATTTTGAAATAGTTTATTTTCTAAATAAAAAAGCAAAAAATATAACTTGCGTTTTCAGCTTTTGGTTTTGGATTTTAGTTTTTAAATTTGGTTTTTGGTTTTGCTTTACATTTTTTTTTAAATCTGTAAATTATTTAAGAAAAATAAAACAATAAATTATTTAAAAGTTACCATTAAAATTTATCAAGATAGAGTTATTGTAATTTAAAATAAAAAATATTAACATGTTTTAAAGTACATGATTTAAATAAGTGATTAATAATAGATAATTTTGTTTTGTTGAAAATATTAAATATTTTTGGGCTAAAAAAATTAACATGTTTTAAAGTACATGATTTAAATAAGTGATTAATAATAGATAATTTTGTTTTGTTGAAAATATTAAATATTTTTGGGCTTGAAAAAGGTAATTGATTTTTGATCCATTAAGGTGGAAAGTTTATTTAATGTTTTTTGGAGTTTTTATTTAATACTAAACCCAAAAACCAATCAATTAAATGTCATAAAAACAAAAGTAAGCCCAAAACTCTATTTCATAAATAACCACCGGTTTTGTTCAAAAAAAAAAAAAAATAACCACCGGTTTAATTTAAGTAATGCGGTTCAATCAACTATATAACTTGTATTATTTGTAACACTCTAGGAAAATCCAAATTTAAATGACAACTTGTATCAATATATAAAAAGAATAACTCTATTTTAATAGAATAGATTTAACAATATTAGTAATATTTTTTTCTCACCCCATTTACCAATCTCAGTTTATATTATGTTTTTCATTAAATATAAATTGTTTTATTTTCTTATATCTTGTTAGTTTTTGTTCCACAAACATATTTATTTTTTTAATTTCTTTTTTTTTTGATTATTTATTAATAATTAGTTGTGTTTTCCATCATTTTTAGTCTAAGCCTAAAATTGGTAGTTAAAAATGAAAAAAAAAATTGTGAAATTATTTTTTTTTTGTCATCAAATTTCCTTCTATTTTTTTCCATTAATATGGATTTGACGAAACGTGAAAAAATAATTACATAAATATTTTTTAGTTATATTATGTATTTTTACTAAATTTTTATTTATGATGGAAAATGATGTCAAAGTCTTGGTTACATTAAAAACTACGGAATATAAATATGAAGCAGATGAAAATTAAAAGATAATTTATTCATTTACAAAAAAGAAGATGATGTGTCAAATTTATAGAATCTAGTATAATAAGGTGGAAGTTTAAGGAGAGAGTAAAACTTACTTTATATATAGATAGATGTCTAAAAATATAAATACCAAATTAATGATTATTTTAATAGTCATGTTCTACATTCTTGTAAGTTGTAATAATAAAAGATATCAGATTTTCTTTCTTTTTTTAAAAGATGTTATTGCATTGCATACAAAGAAAGGAATCCAAAAGATAAAATTGACAAAAAAATATACCAAAAATAAATATCTTTAAAAAAATCTAGCTAAAATACATTAGCAGTTCAAAATACGTTTTAATGTCTAGATCTCTGTACTTGGCCATATATTAATGAGTTGAAGATTTTATGCCCAATTTGTCTAACATGTGATTCATAATTTTAACTGAATCTGATAAGTATAATTTGGATTTCATGACTTTTCTGGAAAACATAATAAATCTAAAATTGATCTCAAAGTTATTTTTTATTTCAAAACGCCACATGTCACATAACTACATAATATAGAGATAATTGCTGGAAAACATGTTTACCACAACAAAAATAACTTTAGTGCATTATATAGGCCCCTATAAATAATAAGAAAGACGAGACCATCTTCTCATAACTTTTAAATTCATCTTCAGAACGAATATCAATAGAGAGAAAGAAAATGGTGAGGCCACGACTGCTGGTAGTGTCAATGGCTCTTCCAGTTACTGCAAACAGAACTGGAGAAGAAGCATGGTCTTTCACCATGAGTCCTGGTGGTCTAGTTAGTGCTCTTCTAGGTAAGTAGATACTAGGATACAACTTTGATAATTTCAATTAATGAATTAACAACACTATATAGCGATTTTTATATTACATTAATTAATGGTGTTACATCTCTTAAAGGGTTGAAAGAGTTTGAGACCAAATGGATTGGTTGGCCTGGAGTAGATGTTTATGATGCGGTTGGAAAAAAGGCACTCTCCATTGCTCTAGCTGAAAAGGTACATATAGATTTTGAAATCTCATATATTAAATCATCTATATATATTATTGTAAAAAGAAAACGTAAAAATACTCTAAAATAGTTTATGTTTAAGTGTATATCACAAAGACCTTATTCATGTCTTAGTTTGTTTATTAAAACCTTATTTGTGTCTTAGTTGATCATTAAAATTAAGGCAATTCTCTAAAATAGTTTATGTTTAAGTTTTTATCACAAATATTATATCAAAGAAGAAAATGATCAAAAGAAGTTTCATTAAAGAGTTAAAAAAAAATTTCTACTCTTACCTTATAGATAAAAATAAAAATTGGCAAATAAAAAATAAAAATAAAATAAAAAAAAAGAAAAGAAAAATGAAAAACATAAAATAATAATATAGTTTTGATTTATATGTTTCCAAATTCAAAATTTTTGTAAAATAAATTTATTTTTATTTTTAAAAAACTGTCTTTGAAATTTAAACTTAAACATAAACTATTTTATAAGTGTTTATGTATATTTACCCTCTAAAAGAACTTCTTTTGATCATTTTTCTCATTGAGTTTTTTTATGAAAAAATGTTATCATAGGAAATTTTTCTTAATATTAACGTCTTGACTTTGATTTGTAGGGCTGTATCCCGGTGTTTCTAGAAGAAGTTTGTGATCAGTACTATAATGGCTATTGCAACAATATTCTATGGCCAATTTTTCACTATTTAGGAACTCCACCCGAATATCGTAATGATGCAACTATTACATACCAGTCACAGTATGATGCATACAAAAAAGCAAATCGGATTTTCTTTGATGTGGTAAAAGAGCACTATCAAGAAGGAGATGTGGTTTGGTGCCATGATTATCATGTTATGCTCCTTCCTCAATACCTGAAAGAATACAACAATAAGATGAAAGTTGGATGGTTTCTCCATACACCATTCCCTTCCCCTGATATGTATAAAACATTGCCTTCAAGATCTGAACTGCTTCGCTCAGTTCTTACTGCTGATTTAGTCGGGTAAATATCTTTTATTTTTAACAGTATAGTAACTATTTGTGAATTTGAAAAGTAAGCTTATGCCTTACTCTAACCTTTTATTCTTTTTCATCTCTCTATTTTTTTGTTTGTTTTTCAGTTTTCATACCTATGATTTTGCAAGACATTTTGTGAATGCATGCATGTGTATACTTGGAGCCGAAGCAACGTCTGAAGTAATTGTGAATCAAGACAAAGCCACTCGTGTAGCTGTTGTAAGGATCTATCTTAATAATCTCTTAAGGTTGATGATTTGCTAAGATTTAATATCTTTTGTATTGTTCGTTATTCTTATATTTGGATTTTAGTTTCCCATTGGGATAGAACCTGAGAGGTTCATAAACACAAGTAAACTCTCGGAGGTCACAGAATACATGAAGAAGTTTAAATCAGATTTTGGGGGCAGAAAGGTAGATTGATACTTTTATAATAATATATAATACTTGATGCTTAAAAAGAACAATGATTTAATATTATAATGTTTGTTGACAGCTGATATTAGGTGTTGATCGTCTCGACACGATCAAAGGAATTCCACATAAATATCAAGCATTTGAGAAATTTCTAGAGGAAAATGAAGATATGCGTGGTAAAGTTTTGTTACTTCAGATTGCAGTGCCAACAAGAAATGGTATTGGTGAATGTAAGTTTCTTTCTATCTCTTCTATTTCTTTAGTTAATATGCATCGATCAATTCATGAGATTGTGTTTGTGTTATATAAACAGATCAAAAGATAAAAGACCAATGTCATGGACTTGTTGGACGAATTAATGGTCGTTTTGGTTCTATCTCTTCAGTTCCAATCATTCACCTGGTTTGTTATCTTCTCTTTTTAATCCTCATCACAAGTCATATCTTATAGTTTCTGATTAATATTTCATCTTTCTTTGTTAGGATTGTTCTATTCACTTTCATCAACTATGCGCACTTTACGCCATCACAGGTAATTTTAGAGTTACTTTTGATGATCTCGTTACATATATTCTAATTTGATTCGATAATGTAAAAGTTTATGAGCTTCTTTTGTCAATGTTGTATTCCTAACACACCCCTAAGATAAAAAAACTCATATGACATTCATCTTGATATATTACTTCTTTCTTTACTTCTTCAGATGTATTACTTGTAACATCTTTGAGAGATGGAATGAACCTTGTGAGTTCTGAGTTTGTTGCCTGCCAAAATGCGGAAAAAGGAGTCCTCGTTCTAAGCGAGGTAACTTAATTTTGATAGCTCTGATGTTATGTATACGAATTGTCTTCTTTTTTTTTTCTGGTCTGAAATGTATTTAAGAATCTAATATACCAACAATTAACATTCAAAAATAATATATATTTGTATGATTTCACAGTTTGCAGGTGCTGGTCAGTCACTTGGTGCTGGAGCTCTTCTTGTGAATCCTTGGAACATTAAAGAAGTTTCTAATGCCATTGGAGAAGCTCTAAGAATGTCACCTGAAGAAAAGGAGAGAAAACATCAAATCAATTTTCAGTATGTGAAAACTCACTCTACTCAACAGTGGGCAGATGATTTCATGAAGTATGTGACAAATCACAACATTAATTCTCTTAAAATCTCATCTCAACTATTGTTCTTATACATAACTCATACACTTTCTTTTGATTTGGTTAGTAAACTAAATGAGGTTACAAGTAAACCGGAGCTAGGAACTGGAAAAGTCCCATATGAACTTCCACAACATGATGTGGTTCAACGATATTCGAAGTCTGAGAATAGGCTGCTAATTTTTGTAAGTGTTATATGTATCAAGATTGTCTTGTAAATGGCATATTCTTGTGGTCACTTATCTTTATATGTACAAAATGTTGTTTAGGGCTTTTATGGAACGCTCACTAAGCCGAACAAAAGCCAAGAGAGAAGAGACGAAGGAATAAATCTTGAGCTTCAACCACAGCTCAAAGAAAGACTCAAAACATTATGCAGTGATCCAAAAACAACAGTAGTTGTCCTGAGCAGAAGTGATAAAAGCATATTGGACCAAGTAAATATTTTCCCTCTTCTTTTCAAAATTTACTTACTTGCTTTCTCATTGTGGACTTACTTAGTATCTTGAAAACAGAACTTTGGAGAGCATGATATGTGGTTAGCCGCAGAAAACGGAATGTTTCTAAGGCATGCAGCTGGGGAGTGGGTGACCAAGATGCCAGAAAACATGAACTTGGAATGGATTGATGGTGTTAAGGTTGGTATATAAAAATATATTTTAGAATTCAAGTCTGATTATTCTACTATAATATGTTTTGATTCTTTTGTGGTTGCTTTTTTCTACAGCAAGTTTTCAAGTACTTCACTGAAAGAACTCCAGGATCCTACTTCCAAACAAGCGAGACTTCGGTTGTATGGAATTACCAATATGCAGGTGGTTTATTTTATACATATAAGTTTTTCTTAACTTCTACTCAGGATAAATACTGAAGACAACTACTTGATCTTTATTTATTTGTAGATGCTGAATTTGGAAGAGCTCAAGCAAGAGATATGTTGCAACACTTGTGGGCAGGACCAATCTCTAATGCATCAGTGGATGTTGTCCAAGGACGCTACTCTGTTGAAGTCCACACGGTTGGTGTAACAAAGGTAACTAATACTATTGTTTTCATTTGTTTGTATATCATCATTTACCAAAAAAGAATCACATTTTTCTATAATCTATCCTTTGTTCTCTCTGCTCTCTTATCTTAGGGAAGTGCAATGGAGCATATCCTCGGAGAAATAGTACTACAGAATACGTCGATAACTACACCAATTGATTATGTCTTATGCATTGGTAACTTCTTGGGGAAAGTAAGCTTCTTATGTAACTAAATATTGGTTATACCTATCATAAAACAAAACTATATATATCCATAGATTTTGATACAAGGGTCATGTTACAGGATGAAGATGTTTATACCTTCTTCGAGCCCGAGTTAACCGATAAAACCAAGTCTTCTCCTTATCATGGCAGTGGCTGCCCCAAGAAGGTATCATCGACAGTTGTTGACGTAAAAGAAGAGAACTACTTCTCTGTAGCTATTGGGACAACGCACACAAAGGCCAGCTATTTCCTTGACTCATCTGATGATGTTGTGGAACTGATCAACAAGCTTTGCACAGACGAAAATGCTTGAGCCATCATCATCATGCGGTGCCCCTGATTCTCTTAGAGAAATTTTGGGTAAATGACACCATTAAAGACTTTGATTTGCTATTTTTGCCTTTGCAAAAACACATCTTAGTTCTCTGCTTTTTCAGTTTTTCTCATTGTCTCTTTGCCTATTTCTCTATTTATCTCTTTGTATTTTTCCTTTAGTTTTATAATGGAAAGAAACTCTTAAGAAAATATTTAAATGACATTAACAGAGATGAACATAGGAATTATAAGGTGAAGAACACTTGCAAACACACACACACATGATCTTGATATTTAGAAATAAAAAAATCAAAGAATCACAAGAGGCGCCTCATCGGCTTTAGCAGGTGCGGTCTCTTGTGTTTGTGTCTCAGTCTCAGTAGGAGCTTTCTCATCTGCCTTCTCAGCTTCTGCAGCTTCTGGAGTTGGCTCGGCCTTGGTTTCCTCAGAGGAGTCCTCTTTTGTCTCACCTTCTTTCTTTGCCTCTTCACTAGACTCTTCCTTCTTCTCCTGTGAATCAAATATATTAGCAACAATAGTTTGTTCAATAAAGGACAAAAGAAATAATCAAATGTGATTAAAAAAACCTCAGTTAATGTTGTATCTGTCTCGGTCGTGACATCCTTGGACTCAACTACAACATTTTCAGTTGGTGCAGAGCCTTCAACGATGTCAGATTCCTTAGGTGTGCTCGCACAGGCTCCCATTTTTTTTTTTATTGAAAGGATTAGTTTGAAAATAAAATATTACAATGGGAAGAGCTGTGGAGCAAAACAAAAAGATAGATGAGAGGAGAGGCCTGTAAAGAGATTTATAGGAGATCGTATATGGAGTAAAGCTATTTCAGGTACGTATTTTTTTTAGATTCATTGCTCATGACACCATCAAAATATCTGTGCACGTCCTATTTAATAGGAGGACAGCTTTATGCCCCACCGTAACTCTCTGTCTGGATTAGGGACACAATGAAATTTACTGGATACAGAAATACTACAACCGAACCGGATAACAAATCAATGAGTCACATGACCAAAATCATGTGTTAAAAACAATTACATGGAATTGATGTTCATATATGTTTTCTATTTGCAAAATGATATCATATTCCAGCCGCTGAAATGGAGATCGTCTCATATTTTGAAAGCTGGAAGAGATGGCTTTCTGTTTTCTCTCAGGCACATGAATTATATAATTCTTGATTTGGCTGGCTATTATGGCTTGATAATGCGACTCTGAAGAGAAAATCGTGGTTAGTGAACTGGTTTCTCTGTGTCAAATGTAACCTGATCATTTTTAAGAGCCTTCTAGTCAGGGCCGTGCGCCTGACTAGAAGATAGTTAAGCATGTGTTTGGAGCCAAAATTAATTTATTAATTTAGGGGCCAACATTCAACACAAAAACGCCTTCAGCTCTATTAGTAAATAGTTTCATATGCATGTAGGTTAAAAGCTGTATGTACACGTTATAATTTTCCAAAAATTTACTGTCATGGGCCAAAAAAAATTTATATGCTTAAGGACCCAAAATTATCAGGCACGGCCTGCTTCTAGTATATACATCTCCCAACATGGTATGGGAAGATAAACCTTTTTCTCCTTTTAATTTTCTCACAGACTTTATTTTCACCCAAGTTTCAAAAATTTATTCAACGATTGCTTTTGTATACGTACGTCGTCGAAACTTAATAAATTTTACTTCCATATTTTATATATAAAGAATGATAATAAATTACATGTTACGAAAATAAGATTGGTGCTTGAGAATCTCTCTTCAACAAATTTTAATACTAGGATTTAAAAACTCAGGTCTATGTTTGATTAGTTTGTATCCATGGCCGGTTCTGATTACATTCTTTAGCTGGAACGTATGCATATTTGCAACTGCCTTATGTTGAGCATATTGTTGAAATCAGTTTACAAGTATAAGTATAAAACCACATCGTTTGGTTTAGTGGTTTTCACTAGATGGGAAATTGTCCCAGTTAATCTTATGCTTTTGTGCTGTCGAATACATTCAAACTTGACACACATTTTATTAATAATATTAATTACTAGGTAATAATATACGTCGAACACAAAATAAAATATTTTATAAAATATTTGTTAGATAAATAATTTCTTAATATATTTTGTAATAACAAAGATATGTAAATATATAATGATTTAATTACGTTTAAAATTATATAAATAATGTATTTAATAATTTAAGTATGATCTATATCTCTAAAACTTTTAAATTAACATATTGATGAATATATAAATGTTATACAGTTTAAGGCGTAAGATATTAAAAACATATGTTTTAAAAAATTAAAAAATTATTAAATGAATCTTCATACTAATATATAATATATATCTCAAGATTCATTGTATATTCTCAAGAATTCTCTTCGTCCGGTTCAAAAATTATCTTCGTCCGGCCAATATTCTCAAGATTCATTGTATATCGGACAATGACGATTTGGGTGTTCATTTTTTGAACCCTGGATAGACCTACGATTTAATTTTCATGATAGTTTTTTGAAGACCTATTTCGATTGCACCTTAGACCAGGGTATTAATTTCTCGTTTCGTGTAGCTTTTACAGCTTATAAAAGTGGTGGTGGCCTTGTTCGTTTTGGTAAGACCAATTTTTGGGATGCTAGAGAAGATGGCATGTACTTCACACACGGTACATGATAAAATTTGACCTAAAACATTAAACCATTTTACATGATAAAGTTATTCACAAATTAAAAAAATATATACTTTTTTATTTTAAACTTTGAAAAATCTAAAGTCTATTTCCTTTCTTCTTAATTGATAAAAATATAAAAATTTATCTTTCGATTTGGAAAAAATGAATCGATAAATATACATTCAAAAATTGATCTTACAGAAAGAATAATATTAGTTTGGATAATAAAACAATATATTTAAATTTATTTTTTTCAAACACGTCTTTTCTTTCTTTTTGAATGATCTTTTATTTTATTATGATTAATTCATGTTTAAGGTTTAATTATATAAAATATAAAAATAAATTTAATTTAACGTGTGGGTTCAGAGGCAAAAAATAACTCACAAGTATATATCATTATATTATATTATTATATTCTTTTAATTTGAAAATAATTACGTCTTATATTTTTTTCTATTTCAATTATATAAAATTAAAAATTTTACTTTATGAATATTTATTTATATGCTTTCTGTTTCTGAATTTTGTATATTAAAATATATTTTCCGGATAACAAAACAATATATATAGGAATTATAGTTTTTTTATTTTAAATATATATTTAGATTGTTTATAGTTCTTATCATTATTATTTATTTAAAACATAATTTCATTGATTTGATAATCATCCTTGTATAAAAATAGTTTATGTTGTGTTATTAAACAAATATTTTACATTAGATCTTTTTAATGTTTTAAATTTATAAGGGATAAATATCTAATGCGTAAGATGTTAAAAATATATATTTTAAAAAATTATTAAATGAATCTTCATACTAATATATAATATATATGATCATATGTATCTTGTTACTATAAAAGTTTTAAACCATTGACCAGAAATTTTCAATATTAGTGTTTTAATATTTGTAATCAATTTTTAAAATTAAAATATAATATATATGAGAATTTTTTATATGATTAATGTGATTTTTTATTAAATTCAATAGTATAGAAAAATATAACAGAGGATACAAAATTGTTACAAATATTTATTATTCAGTATTATTAATTAAAATATATATATTAAATTGTATTAGATAATTTCAGATGAGGATTTTTTTGTATATTATAGTTTCTTTATAATAATAAAAATTGTTTAAATGGAGAAAATAATCAATGAAATATTTTTTCTTAAACTAATCAATGACATATGTTGAAACTGTTATAGTAATTTAAGAATATTCCTATAATAGTTCTAAAGTCAGTTTTAGTACAGGCACATTATCATAGTTCACATGTTACAATGTTTTGGTGTTATTTATTACATTTCAATAGTTACGTTACCGAAAAAAATCTTATTTGACAACATTAATTACTACGACTAAATAAGAATCAAATCACACTCAAACTTGAATGCATGTGTGCATGAACTCGTAAAATAGGTTCTATAAATTGGAACCTTTTTCAGAGCTAGAAAAAAACAAATACAAACACACACACACATACAAACACTAATCAAACAAAAAACGATGAATAGGCTCTCGTGCTTTTTGCTTACCATTGCATTGATTGCTGGGTCTAGTAACGCACTCTTTGAAAAAAACAGTGTCCACTTCAAAAATTCTCTTCGTCCGGGCAATATTCTCAAGATTCATTGTATATCGGACAGTGACGACTTGGGTGTTCATTTTTTGAACCCTGGACAGACCTACGATTTTAGTTTTCATGATAGTTTTTTGAAGACCTATTTCGATTGCACCTTAGACCAGGGTCTTAATTTCTCGTTTCGTGTAGCTTTTACAGCTTATAAAAGTGGTGGTGGCCTTGTTCGTTTTGGTAAGACCAATTTTTGGGATGCTAGAGNTAATTTCTCGTTTCGTGTAGCTTTTACAGCTTATAAAAGTGGTGGTGGCCTTGTTCGTTTTGGTAAGACCAATTTTTGGGATGCTAGAGAAGATGGCATGTACTTCACACACGGTACAGAAGCTCCCAAATTAGAGTATAAGTGGGCACCTGTTTAAGTGGAATTTTCATCATTTTTGTTGTAACGTGTAATTACTACTAAGATAATAAATATAATAGACTTTGATCCATGCGTTTGTATTGGCTATTTACTCTTTTTTTTTTGGAAACACTATCGGGCTTAATTATCATTAAATCAATTTAAAAAATCATCAAAATAAATGTTTATTTGCATCCATAAAATATGACCTAAAACATTAAACCATTTTACATGATAAAGTTATTCACAAATTTTTTTAAAAATATATACTTTTTTCTTTTAAACTTTGAAAAATCTAAAGTCTATTTCCTTTCTTCTTAATTGATAAAAATATAAAAATTTATCTTTCGATTTGGAAAAAATAAATCGATAAATATACATTCAAAAATTGATCTTACAGAAAGAATAATATTAGTTTGGATAATAAAACAATATATTTATATTTATTTTTTTCAAACACGTCTTTTCTTTCTTTTTCAATGATCTTTTATTTTATTATGATTAATTCATGTTTAAGGTTTAATTATATAAAATATAAAAATAAATTTAATTTAACGTGTGGGTTCAGAGGCAAAAAATAACTCACAAGTATATATCATTATATTATATTATTATATTCTTTTAATTTGAAAATAATTACGTCTTTTACTTTTTTAATTTCTATTTTCAATTATATAAAATTAAAAAATTTTACTTTATGAATATTTATTTATATGCTTTCTGTTTTTGAATTTTTGTATATTAAAATATGTTTTCCGGATAACAAAACAATATATATAGGAATTATAGTTTTGTTATTTTAAATATATATTTAGATTGTTTATAGTTCTTATCATTATTATTTATTTAAATCATAATTTCATTGATTTGATAATCATCCTTGTATAAAAATAGTTTATGTTGAGTTATTAAAAAAATATTTTACATTAGATCTTTTTAATGTTTTAAATTTATAAAGGATAAATATCTAATGCGTAAGATATTAAAAATATATATTTTAAAAAAATTTTAAATGAATCTTCATACTAATATATAATATATTTG